TGTGAACAAATAATCAAAATTTAACTCTAAACTAAAATATTGAAACCACCTTTTTTCTTGGTCAAATGTTTGATCAAATTTATCATGATGGTGTAGTTATACGAAGGACAACACCTTTTTGAACTTTGAAAATTTTCCATGCAACCTTTTCTGTTTCTAGAGTATTGTAGTGTAATTCTTATTTTATTCTCAATAATCTGTCATTAAAATTAGTGATATGGAAAAGACTGCAAGTAATTATATGATTTGGTATCTCTTTATTAATTACTAAGACTCAAACCCCGGCCAAATCGCTGAAAAAATTATTATTTGTTAAATTTTAAATAAAAGATATTTAACTCGACAAGAAATAAAAATATACAATGAAAAAGTAAGAATACAAGGAAATTAACACCTAAAATATTTTTTTTAATATTTTTAGAGTAGAAGTAAAAAGATTAAAAATATATATTATCAGACACGATATTGCAAACTATTTTTAGAATTATGAAAATTAATTATAAATGAAAAGGCACTAAAAAATTATGAAAAAATGCCGCAATCCTATAATGCATTAATAACCATATAACGGGTTTTTAAAAAAAGACGCAACTATATGAATTATTAACAAAGTATAAAACTATTTGTTTGAAAATAAGTAATCCTAAGGCTCATTAATAACCATAACATATATTTTCCGGAAAACTACAACTATTAAATGTATTAATAACCATAAAACAATTTTTTCTTCTAGAAAAGACACGATCGTATGATGCATTATAACTATACAATGGCTTACAAAAACAGATGCAACTCTTTAATGCATTAATAACCATAAATCGTTTTTTTTTCAAAAATATGCAACCAAACATAATAACTATAAAAACAATTTTCAAAAAGATGCATTTTTACATAGACCAATTTAAAAAAAAAACGTAATCTCATTAATAACCATAAAACAAAAAAATTTGAAAGTATGCAACCTTAAATGCATTAGTAAACACAAAATAGTTTTTTACTAAGAAAACGTAACCGTATGATGTATTAATAATCATAAAACGAGTTTTCCAAAAAAATGCAATTCTAAAGACAATAATAATCATAACATAGTTTTTACGAAAAGACGCAATCTTTAGAGACGAATAACTATAAAACAGTTTTTTTTTCGAAAAAACGCGATCCTAGCTTTAATAACCATAAAAATATTTTGTTTCAAAATGCAATCTTATCCATAAAATCTCTATTGTCTAAAAACTTCTAAAATTTTTTAGACAAAAAGAATTCGACACTGATGCAACATTGATTTATGGCTATTCAAACACAATTTCAAGACGCGGATACAAAGTTAATTATCAAAAACAAAAAAAAAGAATTTTGCATACATAACTAACAAACATTCTATAATACAAAACTAACCAGTTACCCTATATCTAATGACTATGGTTTAGCCACATAAGGTAAATTTTGTTAGTTTCTTAATTATTAATTTTGTTTTTTGATTATTTCACAAATTAAAAAAAAAAACAAACTTACAAAGTTTCTCTTTGAAGTTCAGAAAAAAGTTTCGCTTTGTTGAG